ATTTTTTCAGGAAATTCCTGCTCTCAAGGAAAGTAATGGGAACTGAAGTCACCTTGCTTTGCAAGGATATTTTTGACCTGACACAAAATATTTTGGTATATTTGAACAGTTCTCAGTCAGTATTTGACAGGGGTAATTCATGTTGTGTCAGAGCCAATCCCCATCTCTAATAATTGTTTGGCAACTTTCTATGTTCTGTTCATGGTCAAGCTTGGGTACAGATTGTTCTGAAGAAAAAGACAATTATAGTGTACATTTTGTCATTGTTTCTTAAAAAGAACCAGCTCCAGATATTGTTTTTCAGTGTCATAGATCTTGTCTGTGAAACGGCTTCTAAGTAATTTTTTGGATGTGAAAGTAAAGCCACATAGGTGCTAATAAAACAATACACATTTAGAATAGCAAGAATAGAATAATCAAAGGGAAAGTGTGTTACATGGAGCTGCTAAAGGTCATCCAAATGCAGTCTACCTTGACTTGTTGCAATAAATGACCTCCCTAAACCTAGTTCATGCTAATTATTTTTATAGTTAAAGCAGAGAACACTGAAAACACCTAATTCTCATAAATTAGGGGGCTGCTTTATTCTGATTTCCTGCCACAGAATGCCTACTTGGCCAGCTTGCAAGAAGACTAAGTAAGATGTTCTGGTTTCCTGGAAGTAGTTTTATAATCAGTTGCACTTCTTGGATGTTAGAATATGTTCATTATTCACCTTGACAGAGGCTACTTCAGCAGTTTTGCAGTACTATGCCTAATAGGGGTATTGTCCATAGTAAAGCAGAATAGTCAATACCATAGATATTTTCTTTTGTACCTGCTATGTTTCTATCATATAGCTTTGGAAGTGTCCTTTAATGAGCTCAGAGTGCCAAGGTGATGTGACCCCAGTGTGCTTGTCAGCTGTCCCCAGGCAGAGGCTGATCTGCATTCAGACCAGTCAGCCTACAGGGACAGAGCTTCTTATCTGTCTGTCAGTAGCTCACATTAAGTGTAGGACAGATCTATTCTGGAGTTCAACCTACCGTCTCCTACATATTAAATAAAAACTTGTTTAAAGGTACTATGTATGCAATTCTCTGAAAAATGGTGCAAATTGGTTTATGAGATAAATATATATATGCCAAGATTTAACCCAGATCAGATGTGATACCAAGATCTTGTTTTGTTTTGTAGTTTGGGTGTGCTTCAGCATATCCAGAATACCTCTATATTTTGGTCATGTTGATTCCAAAAATCTTGCAATGGTTAATTATGAAATATCAATCACAAATGGAAAAAAAGAAAATTACTTGCGGGTTGTGTAATGGTCCATAGAAAGTCATGGCTACATCTTTGACTGATCAAGACTTCAAAGGCACCAGAATGTGTGTTCCTATTCATACTGGAAAACACAGTATTACTAGTGGGGCTGAATGAAGATCTCATCTAGAAGTAACAGTATTCTTAAACAAAAATAAGGCATAAAAAATAAAAGTCTGTTTCAGAGTAAACCAGCTCCATATGCTCATCAAAGCTCAGCTGGCAGACATCACTCTAATCCTGTATTTGCTTCTGCATATGTCTGTTACTCTCTATATTCAGCACCATTCAGCCTCTCCTTGGCATCATACTTTCATCCTATATTTAGTTTTTATCAGTCGATTAGTGGGTGTTTCTGATAACAGCATACTCCCATCTGATCCAGGGTGTATCAGAGTTAAGGTTAAGTCTCCTTTCCTATACCCAGCTGTGCTGCTGAGCATGCAAAACTCTTTTGTAATGAATAGTTTGATTCTCAGTAGGACTGAACTCATCAGTAACGTGTTAGCAGACAACCCAAATATTGTCCTGCATTTTCTTGCTGAATGACAGTATACTCAATTCCTCCAAAAACTCCTTATATAGGATCAAAGTCTCTCCTCTCATTACCTCATAATTTCATGTGAACCGTTGTCTCTCCCAATTCTCCTTCTAATAATATCATCAAGACAATCCAGAAATGAGCTCATGAAGTATTTGTACATTCCTACTTTGATTATATGAACAACCAAACTTTTCACCAATAAGCAGGACTTTGCATTAGAATCTGACAAATAGTAAACCTCTGATATTTCCTAAAAAAGTTGCTCAAATAATTGCTTTACTTCAGTTTCATCAGTTAGAGTTCTAAATGAAATAAGCATTATCTGAGATCAAGGCACGTGGTTACACAGAGACATTAGTAACAGCACTCTTTTCCCCTCTTCCTAGTAACAAAAAGGTAACAATTACCTTTTTCCCTATCCAGGCAACTATAGAGCAAAAAAGAATTGTCATTTTATTTTATCTAACATGGATTTGTGTATCTGAGGAATCTGGTGTGAAGGTGTAGCTGTTTCTACAATTCACTCCGTCCCTTCCCACCACTGAACGTGAGAACTGATCCCAGGACAGTTCATTTACCATATAACCCCTGTCAGTAGGAGGGGAATATCTGTTGCTAACTCGAGGCAACAGCATTTTGTTGTTGTGCCCAAGGCATTATCAGAAGAAATTATGGAAAATTTGTGTATACCCAGGTTTAGATATCACTCACAAAAACCATAGTAGTTTAAGATTTTTCAGTTTCCTTGTTTGAGGAGCAAGGAGAGAGAAAGGACATCTTACAAAGGAGTATTTCTGGTCAGGTTACGCAGAAAAGGTTTCCACTAACATGAAATTTTCAACATATAAACTAGGCCAGGAAAATATGTTTCTTTGTTTCATGAAGATTTGTATAAATCTTGCACTTTCTTCATACTGTGAGTTTCACAGACTAGTTTAAAAGAAACTCTTAAACTGAGTCAGGAACTAAATTTCAGAATTTGAAAAATATCTAACTTGCCCTAAAAAAAATTCAGATTTTCTATTGCTTTGACTTCTAAAGAATAACTCTGACATTCTTTATAATTTCCAGATGGCAATGTTTGGTTTTCAGAATGAATGTGTATGCACACACGCACATAACTTGTTTTATTTTACTTCTGTGTATTTTCATTAAGGCTGTGATTATCTCTAGTAAATATGACACCCAGATCCCTTGATATTTTCCTCCTTAAAGGGAGCAACTGTGTAACTTTCAATAGAGTTCCCCAAAACCACACTTCTATATGTCAGATATTGATGCATACAACATCTTTAGCCTGCTTCCCAGAATGAGTATTTTGTGCATACAAGAGATACAGAGGGTACCAGCCACTTCTCTTTCTGGCCACTGGGCTGATGTTGTGGAAAATTGGTTTCAAACTGGATTCTCTCACTTCTTCTGCTCTTATATTTTGGTTTCAGAATAACAGACCATGACTGAGGGCAAGCAGAAATAGTAACAAGGGAGTAAGGCAGGAAGGAAGGAGGAAGGTGGTAGGAGCTGAAATGTACACTGGTGAGGGACAGACAATCATGAATGTAGTTAGTTATCCAAACACTTATGTCTGGCTATAGTCCACAGTCTCAAGATCTCGCTACATAAAACAAGAAAATATTCGGACATGAATTTTTCCGCATTTATCTCTCTCCCCATAGTCCCAAACTAAGACTTAAGTATTTTATTAAATTTAAATAGGAATACACGTGAAAAAAATACTGACTTATCAGGATTGATTAGCTCTGTGCTTCGGGTATTTAGATAATCTGTCTCACATCTCAAGCAAGTAGTAAAGCTGTCAAAACACAGGTGACCCCAAATATTTAACTGTTCATGTAAAATGGAACTGCTTCAGCAAGAGAGAAATAATAAGAAAAACGAGATTTTCCCTACTATCACACCTTCTATCAGCTTTTACTAACCACTGACCTTTTGTGGACAGCTGTTTTGTTGATATGTGAATGTGACTCCTTGGACCATTTAGGTGTTCATGAAAGAGTATTTTTGAAAAAATAAGGTTTTATCTAAAATCTTTTTTCAGCCTCAGTGACGAGGATCTACTGAAGAACAGGCTAAAGGAGCAAACATAGGGTTAGAGGGATGATCAGAAAAACACTGAATACTTAGCACCAAGTAATCAAAATCTGTCACTGCAAAACATTTAGTCAGTAGAGCTAAAGAAAGGGGCTCAAACACTTATTGCAAGTTTTGTCTAGAAAAAGCTTCCATTTTCAGATGTGGCAGGTGTGAAGTGTGTTAAGTAGAGAGGGAAGAGAAAAAACCTAGTGGTGATTTTGCTGGTCAATGAACATTTGTTCCTGCATCTTGTGCTTTGGATTAATAGATTCCTTTCCCCACACTGCCACAGAGCCAGGTGCTTGTATCTCCTGGTTGGGGGGGAGATGAAAAGTGTAAATGCCAACTCCTGTAGCAGAGACAAGGTGACTATAGGTTCACTAGCAAGAGCTGTTTAGGATGGTTTCTGATTTCATGTGACGATGATGATGACAGAGGTCTGCTGGCTTGGGGGCACTTTTTTGCTAATTTCTTTTTCAAGCTATTGACCTCATACCTAATTCTGCAGCTGTGAAATTGCAAGCAGTGCAATGAAAAGATTGCTCAGGTTTTAAAATAATTATTCTTATTTAAATTGCTAAAATTTTACTTCCTTTAAATGCTTTTAAGAATCTACTTCTTTTCAGTTTTACAAAATCTTTTTAAAAATCACAGCAGTTCTGAGCTACTTAAATATTTCCATGAATCAGACACAGATCTACTTAATAGTTTTGCATATTACCTTAATGTATCTAGACTACATAAAATATTATTCTTTAAATTTTTGACAGTGTTCTGTGATACTTAGATGAACTTTACAGGTATGTGTGATAATTTCAGCAAATCAGAAAAGGACAAAAAAAAAATCCAAACCAATTTAATTGGTTTAAATTGGTGTCTAAGTGGTTCTGAACTGCAACTAAGAGTTGAAGTGGAGAAAATCACCTAAATTTACCCTCCCCCTTAGTCAGCGGTGAGCTCCACAGGACCCTCCCCAAGCCATAAAAGGCCAGGAAGAATGTGCTAAGCACTGAGTGTGCTAAGAATAAAGTTGTACTGGGATGGATAAGGTTACTTTGAACTCTATATTTCATGTTTCCTGACATACCCCCCAAAGAACTGCAATTATGCTAGCAAGGCTGTAGGAGCATTGAACAATTCTTTCCCATTTCTTTTGATTTTTGTTGCCTCTCCATGCATTCCTGTCCTGTTTAGAGCTGTGTTTTTTTTTTTTACTTTTAGTTTGTGGTGTGCATGGTTCTGAGGATATTAGAAAAAACTTGCTGAAGGTTCTCTCTGAGGCATGGCTATTTTTGTTAGAAGCTGACACTTTAGACTGAGCTTTAAGTGTTGCCTCTGGAAGGCCTCTGGTTGTTCTGGGAGGCCAAGGCTCTGCAGAGGAAACAGACATTTCAGGGAGCATAAAAGAAGAAGGAGCACAATTAGAAAAAGCAGAGGACCTCCCTCCTTCTCATTCTGCAACTCCTGCGAGAGTCAGTAACCCAGAAGTTCTATCTAAGCTGCCGCAGTAAATCTTGACCTTTTAAACAGAGTATCTTTTACCATCATCATGGCCGAGATAACAGCAGAAGGTACAGTAACTATTTTCAAATATAATTAACCAAAAATGGTATGTGCTTTAACAATATAATTGAACTGGCATGTCAAAACGATTTGTTGTTCTTAGTAAATAATGTTTTCGCTCCAGGATCATTTAATATTGTTTTTTGGGTTCCTTTTTATTTTTCTTTCCTGCTTTCTCTTTTATTTCTGTTTTCTTTTTTTTTTTTTTTTACTTTTTTCGGTCCTGGAGCTCAAATTTTTACCAGTTAATGAAGCAGGTTCTCTGAACACCTCTAAAAATAACCTTAGCTTCATTTGCAGAACACAATTATTTATGCAGTTCCGTTAGAGCGATACAAACTGGGAATGCCTGAATTTCAGGGTGTTCTATTCCTTTTGCTCAGAAAAAGCTTTGGTAGTCCCTTATAATCAGAGATTTACCAGAGTCAGAATAGCTTCATTTGTTGACCCTAATTTTTCCATAGGGAGCACAGAGTATTTGTGAGCTGTACATGGAGTTATCGAAGGGTAAAAGGTTAAAAAAAAAAACCCTCTGCTATTCTTATTTAGATAGGCTTCTAAGGGAGTCAGTGAAAATTGTGCTGAAATAAATATGCCAGATGTCAGCCTGCAAAAATGAAAGGCAATTGTATTAAACAATAAATACATATTCTAAAATGTGAATGTTTCATGTACTTTAATATTTCCTGACCATTCATATTTAAATAACATTTTAGATGCATAACAATATTTTATCAGCTGAAGTCAGAGAGGGGATTTATTTAAAATGCAACCCTCTCTAATACTGAATATTTTTGTTGAATTTCAGTCCAACTTTTTCCACTGTTTATCCTAATTTAATAACGACAAAAATACCAGAAAATGCTTTAAAACAGTCTTCTGAGGGTTATTTTATTCTGCTTCTCAATGGTTGTGTAGTGTTTCGGTGCATGAAATATGTATTTTTCATCTTCCATTTCTTATTGTTCGTACTTATAAGAGGGTCTGCATTAAGTGCTATTAGAAAGTGATCCCCTTCCTTGTTAAGGGCTGATGTTAGGGAGTATGTCAAGTAGTACAATCCTTGCTTGATGTCTGGTTATCCACAGCAGCGAGGCAATGTGGTTTTTTTAATTGGCAGTTGGACTGATCAATAATTTACTTCTGGCAAATGCTGCCAAAACAGGTGGCTCAGCCTGACAGCCCTAACCCAAATACAAACACTGGTTTATTCAGATATTCTTAACTAGGTGTGTTGGAAAAATTGGTTGTTTTCTAGCTGTTATGAGGCAAATCTGTGAAATAACCAAATTAGCTAGATTTTTGGTCCAAAATTAATGGCAAAAAATATAAGCTTTTCAAAGCAGTCTGACTTTTCAGTTATTTATCTATTAAAGAAAGAAAATTAAAGTCTCTAGAATGGAACAAAAGACCATTGAATGAAAGAAAATATAGTCTGAAAAATGTTTTTTTTCCGTTTGCATAGTGTTTTTACAGGAGCTGTAACAGTGTGTGTCTTCAGTACAAACACAGGCTTAGATGATAAGGGGCATCAGTAAGCTGACCTTCCATGTCACAGGGAAATAAACTATATGATTAGTTTAGTTTAGTTATGTTTGGCTTAATTTTATTTTTGTTTTTTCATGTACTTGGAATGCACTTGTAGTGATTGACTGATTTTTAAACACTGTATCCACAAGATGGAAATTTTATTTATGGCAAAAAAGTAATAATTCAGCCTGGAGCTAATGTTTCAGTTTGCAGCTTCCTTTCCTCTGGGGCTAGTAGTGGCACTCATATTCCGGAAGTTTAGATATAAACTTCAGCAACATATAGTTTGGGTTAACAAAAGACTACTCAACTACCTGTTACTCCATGCAATTTATTTTGTTTCCTGTATCTCCTCACAGCCCATGATTTGCTGGGCTCTTCATGACTGCTTGGACTAAGGCACTTGCTCCTTGCAATAGGTATTTATAACTCCTTTTTTTCCACTGTCAGTCCCAGAGCCAGACTCTTGGGCTCCTTGCCTTTCGGGGTACCGTGCTGACATGTCAGGGAGCAGGGCACAACAGCCATGCAGGCACTGCTGTGGCCAGTGAGGTTCCTGGTTTAGAGAGACAGCCCAGGCCTGGCAGGCTGTGCTGGTGCACATCTCAGGGCTCTCTTTCTGGCAATCTGTGTCAGGACAACAATCTATTCACAGATGAACAGGGGCAATGGGGAGCTGTTTCAGGTCAACAGCATGATAATGGCAGTGAGATTAAGTTACCTAAATATTAAGCAATTACCCTGCACTGTCTACTTGCACCAATACCCACATGTGCTACTTATTCTTTTACACAGCTACAAATTGTTAGTTGTGGAAATACTGGTGAAATGTACGCTGTGAAAGACAAAATGAGATCCCTGAAGACAGCAATTTATAAATGTCCTTAGAAAGTTGGCAGGACCTATGTCTCTAGCTGTCAAGAATTCAGGAGAAAATTCCAAAGGATTATCTTCAGCTTTCTCATATTACATGCCATGGCAATCCCAAAACTGTACTATTAAAAAGTGGAAGTCCTTATAAATGTATAAAAAAATGTACAAAGACTCAGTACAGAGACCAAGTGCTCTGCTATACTCTCAGGATCTAATATTAATATTAGCCATATTATTACAATGAATACTAATTATTGCTCTTCTAATTATTACATTTAACCAGATAATGAGTATTCTTGTAGCAGCTAAGATCTTTACTGTGCTCCAGGTAAGACTTTGAAAAGCCATGGGTCTCTAACTGGGCTAGTCCACTGTGTCTATGAGCACAGGGATTGCCCTGGACACAGTGGCAGGTGTAGTTGGAGCTGCCACCAGCGAAGCACGAACAGCAAAAGGCTGACACCTCTGAGAAATGGCATCTGCCAATGTACAGCTTAATCTGTATGTGCACAGCAACTCCAGCACCAGCCTGTAGCTGGTCCTTTCTGATCCAATCTCCTGCAGGTCACTGTGCAAGGTTGATGGCCATCCCCTGACATTTTATCCTCCCACACAGGGAAGAATGAGCAGAGACTCAGCTCTGCTTGCTGCAATGCTCTGGAGACTGTGCACTGATCCAATCCAGGGAAGTGAGGAGAGGAGAAAGACAAGGTTTCTGTGCCAGCTGTTTGTCTGACACAACTTATTTCCCCAGTGGAGCAAGAGAGAAGCGGGAGTCAAATAGAAAAGTGACAATGAGTCACAGCTTGGTCCTTATTTTGCTGCTGAGAGCTGTGCAACTACATATTTCCTCTGTCTGGGAGCAGGCTGCAAGGAGACAGGCTAGCCCCAAGGCTACACATGGCTTGTCAGTGACAAGATCAAAATTAGCTTCTGCATTTCAGCCCCTTTCTCAGGCTATTGGATAACTATGAAAAGTTTTAAGATGTAAACCATTTCAAAAGGCAAAAAGATGTGTACACTTGAAGATTAAAAGACATGAAACTGCTAATGTATGAGAAATAACACACAAGATCCAGAGGGCAGAGTCCCAATTATTTTACCAGTGTGATGGTCAGAAGGTAACAGAGGTATTCAATTGGCAAAATGTTTAATGAGGGCACACTAGAGGCAAGAGGGAGATAGCTACTTCTCATGGTAATTCATGAGTTGCTGCTAGAGGTGCCAGTTGTGCTGACTGCAACAAGGGCCTAAATGAATAAATTCGATTATATGACTCATTTTGATGGCTAAAGGCATAAGAGGTGTTTCCTACCCTTCAGTTGGACTGCTGTTTATGCTTGGAGCTAGGGTGTTTCTATAGAATCTATTAGCATCTAGCAAATTTTCAAAATGAAAAGATGTCTTATTTTTCTGCCTTTCAATGTTGATGAGGAAGAAGATAGTATACCTATTACAGCATGGTAAGGAAAATACAACAATTTTAGTTATGGTTTATTTGAAGGAATCTGTCTGTTCTTCTTCAGAACAACCAGGTAAAATCAACAGCCTAATAACACAAAGAAAAGAAAGTCAGAAAACCCAGGTCTGCATGGAGTCTTCTGGGGGGAACAGAAGCTCTGACCTTGTGGGGAACAGAAGCTCCAAATTTTTACCAAAATTCCTTAAAATTGTATTCTCCTGTGACTGTGGGCCTGTACAACTGTGCTGGTTAGTTTGGCTTCAGCCCTGGTGTTTTCTCATAGCCTGTTGAGGCAAGCATGAGGCCAAATTGATTAGCTTGACTTTAAGGTGCAAGAATTTGTGGACAATGCTACTCAAAGCCAATACAGTCTTTATGCTCCTTCAGCTGGTACAAGGCAGCATTACATATAATTCATTACTTCAGGTAGCCCCTTAGAGAGTCAGGGGCTTAGCTCTGGACAGCAGGAAGACTGAAAACCTATAAATCAGAGGGCCAAGCTAATACATCCTCTTAGTACATGACAGGCTAAGGTGTGTGTGTTCAGTTAGCTCTTGTTTACTTGTGGGCAAACAGCTGGACTGCAGGTCTGAATATTTATTCAATTTTTTTCTTTTTTCCAAAAGCACCTTGTGATCTTAAGTATTTGGAGCATATTTTACTTATATAATGAGAAATGTTTTTAAAATTCTATTAGTGTTTTCAATTTATTGGGAAGATCAGCTACCACTGACTTAAAAATTAAATCTGTGCAACTACTTACATTTTCAGAAATCCCAATCTCCAGTTTTAGAGACCTAAACCTTGAAAAAAAAGTCTAGTCTAGAAATATTTTGAGTACTTTTACCCATTGTCTACAATATAAATGCTGAGTAAGAGGTAGATTCATTCTGTTCTTACTGCTCAGTTCTGGAAAACAGAAACTATTTTTCTTTAAAACATTTCATAATATGGGTCTGGCTTCAGTACAGGACATACTGAAGAGAGAGAAAGAAACCAAAGTTACCCTATTTGAAACAGGCTATCCATTTACAGAAATAAAAAACTTTTTCTTTTCTTTCCTATGATGAAAGTCACTGGTTTCTTCTCTGTTTAAAAAGATTGAACTAGTGGAAATTACTCATTTTACCAGCTTAAACCATA